TTTTGCCCTTCATTTTGATTATATTTTTACTTAGTGCAGTGATTTCTCCCATACGCAGTATAGGTTATTTTTATTAATTTTATTCCTTTTGCACCACTTTTTGCATTACACGTAGTGTATTGCACCCATTTCTTCACTTAATCCTATTTCACATAATTCCTACACATAGTACTTGCAGATACTCATAGTGCTAGGTTTCTTTTTGTTTGTTAATTTGCATTAGACGCCATTTTGTTGTGTCTACATTGAAGTGCCCTGTGCTGTGCTCTGTCTCCTCTGCTGAGTTTCGTCGATGATCCTCGCTTCCTGGGGGTGGACCTATGACTCGTCATCGGACTCTACTCCTCCTGCTTGGTTCTCCGGCTCGTAGGACCTGGACGGCCGTTTGTTCCGGCATGACTGCTGGGATACTTCGCTCGCTGGGACCGGACCTGCCTGCTGCTCTTTCCTGTGCTGGATCATGATAAGTGCTATTACAAAGATCAAAATACTATTTTGGGGAGTATTCCCGACCCGTGGGTATATAAAGTTTTGCTCCTGCTTTAAATTATTACTTCCATGGGGATATCTTGATAATCTACTGACTTGTGTGCTTCCCGAGGAGTATGCAAGACTGTTCTTCGGCATGGGGTTCGTACCTCACCACTTTTTGGCCTCTTCCTGGGGAAGTGCACCCTACTCTGTCGTCGGAGTCCTTCCAGACTCTGGTTTGTTCAATGTCAGGTGGTCTCTGGATGGACCACCGTGCCCTTGAAAAGGGGGGTATGTAACGTGATGAAGGAGATATTCCTCTAAGGTTATTTAACCTCTCTCCACAGATGCCTCTGACACAGTACTAGAGTGCATGAGACTGCCTCAAGGTCATGCATTTGCTTCTAAACTGTTTTCTTTCCAGCAAGAGAAGAATGAAGAAATGACTTTTATTTTAATAAATCAAAGAACTCTATTTCTAATAAAGCTAATCAAAACAAAGTATTAGTCAATAATGTAATGTTGACCGATCTGTGAAATGACAATGTTATGATTAATATGCTTTAACAAGTAGTATGACTTTAATCTAGTGCACTAGACATGCTGACTACACAATAATGTAAATGCATGACACATTGCTGTTACTGATCCAATCAGAACCTTCCTTTCTGAAGCGTGGCATAGTCTCTGTGGTGTTTATAAATCTGCCAACTTTGATTCGACCAGAAATCAAAACACCCAGATTAATAAAACCAGTTCCAACGCCATCTTAAGTTCAGTTCTCAAGATCTCACTGGAGTTCACCGCATGCTAACCCCGGCTTTCCACAGGAGCCGTCAGCAGCACGTTACTGCAGCAGCACATCTTGCTCGCGTAAGCTGCTGCTTGGCCCTTCCCACGAGATGCGAAGCAGCAGGGGAGAGCAGCTGTCACCGACCGAGCACGAAGTCACACGAGTGACTTCGTCAGTAAACACAACAACAAGCAGGAGAAAACTACAACATGGCTCCCAAAGGTTTGTGTTTTATGTTCTGTCTGTTTTATAATCGCCAATACGGACCTGAAAAACAAAGGAGACCGCTAGCTAGGTGATAACTTCTCACGGGGCCGCACATTTAGTAACTGTTTTCAAAAGTAAAGCAGCCGGAAGGCAGTACGTTTCTTTATTGTGAAAATCTCGGGAGCTTCTCTCCATTTCTGCGTCCGATTTCCTGTCTTTCCTTCCCCAAAAATGTCGAACTTGACCCGTTTCAGAGGCGTCGCGCGTAGAAAATAGAACCGGCGCGTAAAGGCCGCGACATGCTGCTCCTGAGACGCGGCCGACTTGCGCTGCTGATGGCTGCTGACGGCTCCAGTGGAAAAGGTTCTGCTGACCACAGCGGTTCCTATCAGCAGCTATGACGTGCTGCTGACGGCTCCTGTGGAAAGCCGGGGTAAGCGAAGTATCAGACCGGCCATCCGGACTTCCTTTTTAAGCTGAGAACCAACAAGCTGGATAAAATCTGTTGCATTTTACCAACCAAGCAACGGTTCCTTTCAGAATAAAAGCTGAACTCACTGACCCAAGGGGGTGTCCCCTTTGACGCTGTGAACCACCTGTCACTTTTAACCTGGAGACGATCCAAAGCGTGGTTTGTCGTACTGCTGACGCCGTTTCACCAGCTCCATTACCGAAAGGGGGGTCCGAGGACCTGTCAATCTGGATCTGTACGGATATGTGTGGAGCGAGAATATGGCGTCTCATGTGTTTATGAAACTCCGATCAAACTCTGATCATAGCTAGAAGCAAAACATCACAACATCACTCAGACTTGCTTCTCCAGATACGAGAGTTCTGATAATAACATCGCTCACACATACACCATCCATCTCACATCTCATTACACCAGATCCAGCCATCGTTTAGAGTAGAGTTAGTCTTGTTTAAAATTGTTTAAATTGTTTAGAAATAAATCATCTTAAACGTTTTAAAGGTCTCTCTCTTCTCTTGTCTCTCAGTTAACAAAGTGTTCATAATCCCTGCAATAAAAAGTTCCAATCTTCTGGTTAAATAACCCAGTGGTCCGTAAGATTGATTTCATACTCGCTATGGAATCTTATGTCTCACGGGTCCTTAAAGAGCAAGTCACCCCCTACCAGAGTCTAACTCCACTCCCACTTCATGTTTGAAAAATGCAACAAATGCTGTTGCCTGGCAGACCGAGAAGGCGGAGCTGCTAACAAATACACACACACAGGCTCACGACGCATTGTGACATCAACATGTACCAGTTTACATCATAGCATACCTCTTAGCCAATAGCGGTGGCAGATTTAAATTTAAATACGGTGCGGAGTTTTTACCTGACAACGGCACAACACTGCCAGTTTTAGGCAGAATATTTAAATTTTAACAAAGATGTACTGAAGTGCCAAATTATTGACGAAACGTGTCTGCAGCACGATTAGACACTCGTTTATTTAGTTTATCAGCAAAAAAAAGTTTATTTGGGGGTGACTTGGGGGTGACTTGCTCTTTAATTAGATGTAAATTAACTTCTTTTACACCCCTATTGCCCCAAAGTAATCCAGAAAATTCAAACACAACAATTGTTGATTGCTTTTCTTCTTGGCCTGGATACTAGAGGCTTTTTTATTGTACATTTTCTTCAGCCTTGTTAATCTTCCTGTATAAACTGTTGGTTGTTATAAAATATTTCTGTTAAACAGTTCATATAGGAGACACACAGCGCTGTTTGAGAAGTGAAACAAAGTTTATAAGATTTACAGAAAGTGTGTAATAATTGTTTAAACAAAATTAGGCAGGTGCATAAATTAGGACGCCACAAAAAAGAAGTGAACACAATATTTAGTAGATCCTCCTTTTGCAGAGATAACAGCCTCTAAACACTTCCTATTGCTTCTAATGAGAGTCTGGATTCTGGTTGAAGGTATTTTGGACCATTCTTCTTTACAAAACATCTCTAGTTCATTCAGGTCAGATGGACAGCTCTCTTTAACTCACAACACAGAGTTTGACTAATATTCAGGTCTGGGGACTGAGATGGCCATTCCAGAACGTTCTACCTGTTCCTCTGCATGTGAGAGTTGTTCTGAGTCCTCCATGAGGAGGGAAACTTACAATTGGCCCACTTTAATACTCTTTCTCGGAACTGGATGCACCTGTGTATGGAGGTCAAGGGTCACTGAGCTTACCAATCCAATTCTGAGTTCCAATAATTAGTTTTAACCCTCTGGAGGCAGGCGTTGCAGATTTGCAATGTTAAAACCTACCTACCTGGTTACTCCACATACGTATTTCATGAGCATTTTTTAACTCAGAAGTACCCCTGAAGGACCTAGTTGTTTGTCCTTTTATCAAAACTTATTTTGAGCCTGAGAGGGTTAAATATTTTGGAATCCAAAAAATAATGACAGTGCCCAAATTTATGCACCTGCCTGATGTTGATTAAACAAATATTTCACATTTTCTGTAAATCCTATAAACTTCGTTTCACTTCTCAAACATCACTGTGTGTCTCCTGTGTGAAATATTTAACTGAAAGTTTTTATCGTAACAACCAACGATTTCTACAGGAAAATTATGAATATTAGCAATGCTGCCCACACTCTTGCACCCCCCTGTGTATTAGTTTGAACAGAGAAAGCTCCTTCAATAAGAAGTGAAACGCCACTAGGAAAGAAGCGTCGAACCATCTAGGGTCGTGAGAAATGTTTCAGGGAGAAAGCGGTAGACAACTGTCACACACTGAATGAACGGTTTGCTTTAAATGAAGAAGGAAAGGTTAGAGTTGTTTTAAAAGGCTCCTTGATGGGCTCTGGTCTATCTAGCTGACTCCAGGGTCAAACTTGACTCTCTAAACCAGGGGTGTTCAATTCCAGTCCTGGAGGTGCAGTATCCAGCACGTTTCTCTGATTTAACACACTTGAATCCCCTGTGCAGCAGCTCAGCAGGCTCTGTAGAAGCCTGTTACCTGCTGATTGAAATCAGGTGTGTTGAAACACAGTTAAAACTAAAACGTGCTGGATACCAGACCTCCAGGACCGGAACTGAATATCCCTGCTCTAAACTGATACCACCACGCTCGATACGATCAAACATGCCAAAACTCATGCCTTCTCAAAACCTCACAGCCATCAGATGATCTGCCTTTCTTTCAGTTGTCCTGTCTCTAGTTTCATGTGTTTCGTTACAATTTATCTTTTTTTTTGCTGTTGTTTGCCTAACTGTTTACAGATTTATTTTCATCTACTCACTTCTTGCTTCCTCATTCTTGGTTGTCCAACCTGCACTCATCAGCTGTTCTTGCGTCCCCATAAATAATTAAATACTCATTGACTTCATTATTCCTTGTCAGATCTCGACATCTGACTGTTTCTAGTGTTTCTGCACACACTCAGACCTTTCATTGATATAGAAAACTCTCTGGGGTCATACTGGGTGTTTTGGTCCACACCTCTCACATTTATAAATAATTATTCAAAAGGTTTATATGTTGCTAGTAAACATTAGATGCAGCTGTGTTTACCATTTTGCCTCAGCGTCACTTTGATTGGCCCCCCTCCCAGCACAAAGTCCCTTTCTTCACCCACACAGCAGATTTTCTGGGGGCTTGTGAAGACAGGTGTGTCCAGGTCTTTGGAATCTAGAATGAGTAAAAAAAATTGTTGAAAAATGTCAAACGCGCAACAAGTTGTCTTTCTTTAAAAGTCACCAAATACCTGACATAGCCAACAGTTTAGATGTTTTAGTTTGGCTTTAAGAATGATGAAAGTTTTGCTTAAATCTACTCACAAACCTTAAATATGAATACATACTCTGTCATTTCTGTTTCTTATGAGACATAAACTTTGGTTTTAGTACAGAAATAACACGAAGTTCTGTATTAAATCAATCAATCAATCAATCAATCAATCAATCAATCGACCAATCAATCAATCCATCAGTCCATCAATCCATCAATCAATCAATCAATCGACCAATCAATCAATCAGTCAATCAATCCATCAGTCCATCAATCCATTAATCCATCAATACAATCAATCAATAAATCCATTGAACAATCAATCGATCAATCAATCAATCAAGCAATCAATCAATCAATCAATCGACCAATCAATCAATCCATCAATCAATCAATCAACCAATCAATAATTTTATTTATAAAGCCCCTTCCCACCCCCAATCAAGGGGGCCCAAGGTGCTGAACATAGTGCAAAGAAGCAGCACAATGAAACAGCTCTATAATAAGATACAGAGATAAAAACATAAAAGAGCTAAAAACAATAAAAATAGTGATAAAAACATTTAAAATGTGAAGCAGGTTACACAGCATTTTCTCTTTTCTTCCTTTTCTCAGGTGAAAAACCAAAAAAAAAAAAAAAGAAAATCTAACTACAACAGCATTTACCTGTAGACGTGTCAGAAGATCTGTGTGAGTGTGTGTGTGTGTGAGTGTGTGTGTGTGTGGAATATTTGGCCAGTAAATGTGTTAGATGCTAAAGCTGTAGTTAGATGGAAGCTGCTGGGTATTTTTTTTACAAGGTTTGGATCCCTGCCTGGAGGGGTGGATGATGTTTTCCCATGAATTTTACTTCCTCCATTCCAGAAACTTCATAAAAACAATCTCTTTGCTGTTGGTGATGCTTTCCCTGACAGTGAGTGTCATCCCTGATCCTCTGTGTTTCACTGGTCTGTAAACACTCCACTCAGCTGCTCATGTTCCAGTCTGTTGTTTTCTCAGCCCGTCTTAAACCAGTCTAGTTATGGTTTGAGCAACCAGCTCCTTCATCAGGAACCTTGACCCTGTGTTTACAGCAGCCAGCGTTTTGTCATAAAACCTGATAAAAGACACCTGGCCAAGCTTTTTCTGAGCTTTACACACAAAGTGTGTCATTAAATTGTGGTTACATTTATTTTTTTGTACAGCACTAAATTGAAAGTGGGTTTGTTCTACAGTCTAAAGTCCTTTTGAAAGCCCCAGCAGCTCTTTTGTGGTTCTCTTTCCTCGGTTCCTAATTTGTCTACATTTAACACACAGCAGTGTGAGGTCTTGTGACAATCTGTGTGTGTTTAAATGGTTCTGGTTGCTCACACACATAAAAAAAAATCTAGCTGAAAACTGATTAATAATGAAAATCGCTGCTTAGTAAAACTAAAACAAATAACTAATGCATGAGTTATTTGCACATATGATGTCCTTTAAGGAGTTACAAGCTGTGTGTGAACAGAAGTAAAGATATAAATAATCAGGATCAGACTTGAAGACTTCTGACTTGTCAGCTGTTACTGATGGCATCATTCAGGTGCATAACAATGACAGTTTCATCCTTTTGAAAGTAAACACACGTAACATTATCATCTGAATTCTCCGAGTTGCTCTTCCTGAAGCAGTCCTTACCAGCTGAGGGACTCCTCTCAGCGATCCTGCTGTCAGTCGTTCTTGATCCGCTCCTTTCTGCACACGATGCACGCGGTGGCTTGATGTTGAGCTTCAGTGTTGACACAAAACGCTGTTTGCTCTCATTAGCGTTCATGTTTGCCAAGAGAGCCTTAAGCCTCTGCAGGAACAAACAAATTTACTGAGTCATTTCTCAGGCTGATTATCACACTTCCCCTCTCAGGCTGCAGTGTCACACTCACAAGTTTCCTTTACTCTCTCTGAGCTGCACCAGTCAACGCTCTGCCCTCTGGATTCACACTTTACTCCACATGCTGGAGTTCAATCCTTGAACTACACAAACTCCACCTACACCACAGAGCTTTCTGTTTTGCCCGAGTCACTTCAGGCATGACAGGCAGGCAGCTGCTTCTCCTGGTAGAATCAGGCCAGAACCAGAGCCTGCATCAACACCCCCCCCCCCCCCCCCCCCCCAAGCCCCTCTGCCTTTATTGCCATGGATAACAGGCACGCACTTTGCATAAACAAGACAAAGCAGAGGAGAGGGAAGGGAGACCTCCCCCATCCAGCTAAAGGTCAGGTTGTGTACCGTTTATTGTTCAATGATTTCTAGTTTGCGTTGTCACTTATCAATGCTCCACTTGAACTTTATAATGCCAGTGACATCATTTCAAGCCGAAGGACCTTGGCCGTGAACAAGAGCCCTTTAGATCGCTGTTCTTCCTGGTATCATTTATCCCTGCACACACAGGTGGTCCTTTCTGAGGTAGCAGCGTCACTTGGACTGACCCATCTGCTGCTATGGTAACCAGACCCTCCAGAGAAGACTGCTGTTTATAGTCAGCAAAGCCCAGCAGCTGTCCTCTGGTCAGGCTGAATAAAGTCACACATTCTGGATTAGTTAAGATGCTTTAAAACAAACACTTTGACTCTTTTGGGTCTAAAAGCAGCGTTTTCAGGTCTTTGTAACGAGGTGTTCTGTACGTCAGAGCAAACTTACGCAAAAAAACATTTAGCACTTCATCAACTTAAAAAAAACAAAGTAATCTGTGTAACCTCAACTTCTCAACTTCATGTAAACTAATGTTACAGGTTGTTCCAAATTAAATACATTATACTAAATTGAACCTGAAACTTTTAAGTTGATATTTTTAAAAGTTTAATTGCTTTTGAATGTTAATAAAAGTGTTTTACTCAAATAAAACTATTCACTTTGGAGTCCTGCTGTCAATGACATTAGAGTAATGTACTATTTACCCACAGGCACTAATATTTTAACTAGTGGAATTAAAAAATAACACATTAAATGAATGACAGGCATGTTTATTTTTTTCAGTGTAGGGTAGCAGCACACTCCTGTCCGAGCTTCCTAAATTCCACATCAGCGATCAAACAGAACGGCGCCGTGAGGTGATCATGATGGTTTTTGTGAGGGCAAAATTCCCAACTGAGACTGTTATACTAGTGTGTAATGTAGCAAGTGCTTCACACAGGCTTTTGCTATGATTGAAGGATAAATGAAACCAGGCTCAACGATTGTTTTAATGTTTATTTGAAAGGGGTGAAGCGTTTGGACCTGTAAGAAGAGTTGGTATGAATATTGAGGATTTAAAGTGGTAAATAAATGATTGAATGTTTGTACATACCTGTTTCCCTTGTGATTCTGGAAGTGTTCCAGCTAAAAGAGTCCCCGGGGAGCTGGAGCACCTAAAGAAGGTTCTGGAGCATTCCATTCAGTAGGAATGGGAGGGGTGACCTGTGAAATTGCTCTAGGAATGCAGATTAGTTTCATTGAAAGATTTTAGGATTGATTAAGGATGTTTCTATTTTTGTATTGTAATTATTTAAGGAGATCTTAGAGATGATGATTTAAGGATCATTTAAGAGTATTGAAAGATTGTAGTTTTTGTACTTACCTGTGTCTGGGTTTTAGGATTATTCCAATTAGTCACACCTGTTATAAATACAGCTCTGTGTTTGTTGGAGGGAGTTGAGAGTTGAGTGTTGGATGAAGCGGCAGGCATGGTTTTGTGCTGCCTAGATTTTAATTTTGTACAATGTAAATAAAATACACTTGGGTCTGCACTGGACAACGGCCTCCTCAGTATTACTTCTCCTCCGGAGCGCATGAGGGTCATCCTGACAAGTGCCCTCGGCGCCACATAGTGGCTGCACACACAAAGACGTCATTGTTTTAGTTTAATTTCAAAAGGGGCGGACGTGGCATCAAAGCACAAAAACAAGGCACATGTGAGAATTAAACAGGAAACAAGGTTTTTCTATACATTAATAATGACATCAAAGACTCGACAGGACGTATTCATAGGTTACTCAGTGATGCAGCTTGTTTTAACTTTAAATTGCGAAAGATTAGAACTAAAACAATTCACCATTGTTTTACAGCGCTGCTCGTTTCGGTCGTTTCTAACGAGGAGGGACACAACGCTTTTAATAAGCTCTGATAGTTTCCTGGGTAGCTGGGAAATTTGGAGGAATTTACACACAAAGTGTGTTAGAAAAACTGCTTATTAGATGAGAGAAATGGGATTATGCTGCAAGAGCTCTATAACAGACTCCAGGACATAAGGAATGAGACACTGTTGCTTCCCCGTCTCCTACACGGTGAACTCTAACCAGCTTCTTCCGAAGAAATCCTTTCCTGTCAAAGCATGAGAGAACAGATGTTTAGACACGCCATAACAGGAAGGGAGCTGCTCTCTGGAAGGCATGAAGTGAAAGTGAAGGAGATTAGTTAACACATGAACATTTAAAATTTTTACTCATTAAACATATTCCCTCAGCTCACCTTAAAGGACTGGTTCTTCGTCTTCATTTTCTAAAGTGCCTGTTCTCCCTCATCCTTTGTTTGTTCCTCCTCCACCTCCTCCACGTGGGCAGCAGCTCCATGCTCACAGAAGTGAAGGTTCTCTGTCATCCAGGTCATGGTAATCCAAAGGGAGTGTGAATGAAGGCAACTGGACTTATTTGATTTCTTGAAGACATTTCGCTTCAAACCCAAGGAGCGTTGTCAATTCTGACTGGAGTAGAGTCTACCTCATAGGCTGTAGCTGTCTAATCACATCCCAGATAGAAGCCCAACAGGTGACCCCTGCAGCGTTCCTGCATCCACATCCCAGATTTGTGTTGGCAGCATAGCTAAGGCTTAAACAGTGAGAACAGCAAAACCTCTCTGCTGCATCTCAGTCCCACAGACGGGCGAAAAGTGATGACACAGTCACCTAATCTCTGCTGCTTGGCTTTAGAGAGGAAAGAAAAACATTTGTATTAAACGGGTTAAAGGTTGAATGGTTGAACTAGCTCCTTTGTGACAAATAGAGCCATTTTTATCATTTGTCTTCCTCAATTTAATGTGAGCCTCAAACTTAAGACAGTTTGAAGTCAAATGTCATCACTCTGCTTAGTAACAGTTTATATGTGGCATTGTGATTCTTTCACTTGTGTTTTTTTCTAAATGGTAAAATCCCACTTTTTATGGACAACAACTACATCCTCAGAACTCAAACTGGTCTCTTCATTTCCACAGTTTTATTTAGATCTCAAACCATTTTAGCTGATTCTGTTGCTGAAATGTTGTCAAAGCTGTCCTAATTTATGATCAAACTGGAGTTTCCATAACTCTGCACATGATTTTGCGTTTGTTAGAAACAAAGCTGAAGGTCCGATTTGATTTGAACAAATTCAATCTAAACATTTTTGAGGTTAACAGTAGGATGCTCCAGAGCTGCAGACCCCTGAGCTCCTTCAGCCCATCTCCTCATTAAACAAGTCTTGCTTTGTTAAATTTAGGATGACTTTTGACCCGACTTCTTATTTTAACCTATTTTAGTCGTCGTCGTCGTCTTCCTCCGCTTATCTGGGTCCAGGTCGCGGGAGCAGCATCCCAACTAGGGAGCTCCAGACCGTCCTCTCCCTGGCCACCTTCACCAGTTCCTCCGGCAGGACCTCAAGGCGTTCCCGGGCCAGATTGGAGATGTAACCTCTCCAACATCTCCTTGGTCGACCCAGGGGCCTCCTGCCGGCAGGACATGCCCGAAACACCTCCCCAGGGAGGCGTCCAGGAGGCATCCTGACCAGATGCCCAAACCACCTCAACTGACTCCTTTCCATCCAGAGGAGCAGCGGTTCTACTCCGAGTCCCTCCCGAATGTCCGAGCTCCTCACCCTATCTCTAAGGCTGAGCCCGGCCACCCTACGGGGGAATCTCATTTCGGCCGTTTGTATCCGCGATCTCGTTCATTCGGTCATTACCCAAAGCTCATGACCATAGGTGAGGATTGGGGCGTAGATCGGCCGGTAAATCGAGAGCCTGGCTTTCTGGCTCAGCTCCCTCTTCATCACGACAGATCGGCTCAGCGTCTGCATCACTGCAGACGTCGAACCAATCAGCCTGTCGATCTCCCGATCCCTCCTACCCTCACTTGTGAACAAGACCCCAAGATACTTATACTCCTCCACTTGAGGTAGGACCTCTCTCCCGACCCGGAGTTGGCCAGCCACCCTTTTCCGGTCGAGAACCATGGTCTCGGATTTGGAGGTGCTGATCCTCATCCCAGCCGCTTCACATTCGGCCGTGAACCTGCCCAGCAAGAGCTGAAGGTCAGAGCTGGATGAAGCTAGGAGGACCACATCATCCGCAAAAAGCAGAGATGAGATTCTCCTGCCACAAAACTCGACACATTCCACACCACGGCTGCGCCTAGGAATTCTGTCCATAAAGGTTATGAACAGAACCGGTGACTAAAGGCAGCCCTGGCGGAGTCCAACCCTCACCGGGAACAGGTCCGACTTACTATCGGCTATGCAGATCAAACTCACGCTCCTCTGGTAAAGGGACTGAATGGCCCTTAATAAAAGGCCACCAACCCCATAGTCCTGGAGCGTCCCCCACAGGGTGATCCTGGGGACACGGTCATAAGCCTTCTCCAAATCCACAAAACACATGTGGATTGGTTGGGCAAACTCCCATGCCCCCTCCATCACCCTTGCAAGGGTATAGATCTGGTCCACAGTGCCAGGACGAAAACCACATTGCTCCTCCGCAATCTGAAATTCAACTATCAATCAGACCCTCCTCTCCAGTACCTTGGAGTAGACCTTTCAGGGAGGCTGAGGAGTGTGATCCCCCTATAGTTGGAACACACCCTCAGGTCACCCTTCTTAAAGATGGGGACCACCACCCCAGTCTGCCACTCCACAGGAACTGCCCCCGATGACCACGCAATGTTGCAGAGACGTGTCAACCACGACAGCCCTACCACATCCACAGCCTTGAGATACCCAGGACGAATCTCATCCGCCCCCGGGGCTCCGCCGCTGTGTAGTTGTTTGACTACCTCAGCAACTTCTGCCCCAGAGATTGTACTGGCCATCCCCAGGTCTACCGGCTCTGGTTCCTCCTCGGAATGCGCATTGGTGGGATTGAGGAGCTCCT